ATTCTCTTCCTTTCAAAACACAAGTGGAACTGTGGAAACACTTTTCTCTCTTTATATTTTATATATTAAGCCACTTAAAATACGCAAAATGAACTAAGACAAAAAAATATATGTAATAAACCACAGTGTTTTTACCCAAAATCGTAAAATCTTATATATACTTACATATTTTCTCGATAATTTCAATATAGAATATTGAACCACAATATAACAACGCTTTTGAAAACAATTTGCAACGAACTATTCGCGAAATGCGAGCCTCTCGAAAAATTTCGACAAGTGAGCGGACCTTTGTTGACGTGGATAATTAATACTTTTGCGCACGCGAGTTTTGGTGAGCAAGCGAGACATTGAGTCAGCGTTCGGCAATATCAACAAAAAGAGCGCGTGGTAATAAGAATTTTTTTTCGAAAATCAAGTAGTGAACATATTTAAGCTGAAGTACCCGCAATTAGCTAGTACAGCTTGAAGGAGTTCGTAAGGAATGGTCTTATCCTACAAGGAACGTGGTCATTGCAAGCAAATGAAAAGAGACTTTTTGAGGCGAAAGGTTTTACGATTCTCTGGCTAAAAAACAAAAGGTTCCTGGTAGTTGAGGGAAAGCATGCGAAAGCATGCATTCGTACTCGGGTGATTAAAGCTATGTGCGGCGATCTTGCAAGCGCGACTGCTAGCGTAGACAGGGCTACTAACACTGAGAATTCAACAGTGTTGATGACAGTCGATCTATAAACCGGGGAGGTTATGCCGCCTGTTGGTTCTATATAACGTGGTGAAACAAACGCGGTCAAGTGTTCAATCTGATAGTGCAGAAAGCATTGAAAACCTTAGAATTGAACAATTAATTATGAACAACGCTACTATTCGCTCGTTGGCTGAATCTGTGGATCGGCTCGCTCAATAGTGGCTGAAATCCGAACAAAAATATGCTGTTGGGCACAGGATTCATGTGACAGGAGTGTAAAGGCTACAGATGATGAACCAATTTTTTCTTAGCTGTTTAATTGGAAAAGCCATAGGAAAATTGTAACTGTTTTTCTGCCTCGTCCCCATAGCCGTACGGACAGGGGGGGCAAAATTTCGAGAATAAAAAAATTCGGGCAAAGTTCAGCCGAAAATTCGGGCAAACTGAAAAAATTTAAAAGTAAATTATGTAATATATATCACATATATGTATTCTATTTGAACATTTTAAATAAATTTGTACGGCTCAATCAGTTGGTCGTAATAGGTTAGTTGGTCAGTAGGTCCTTTCTACGTTTGAAAAAAACTATCCAGGTGATAAGTTCATCCATTTTACAAACAGCTGGCTCAAGAGCGACACGTTCATTAGACATGAAAAGATGGGATTTCCACAATATAGACAACGTCGATATTTAAAAAGCGCTTGGAGATGTAACGTTTTATTTTGGTGTTTAGATCTTAAAGACACAAAAACCAAAATACGGGGTAGTTTTTGTTCAAGTTTATATTGTTGTCTCTCCGTACCATTACACACCTACCAGCGGTAGCGGTACAGTAGCCCATATCATTAGATTAAGAACAGAGGGAAATTAGGACTTGACTGAATCTCTATCCGTGTATTTATCACGATAGTTCATTTAACAACTCGCTAATTCAGTTGCTCGTGTGAAAAAATAGCGTAACTCCCTCTGAAGGTCCTCAAATGTAGGATATGCAAAAATATACGGCTTCATCCATTTTGCCAGTTCCGCTTTTGTTCTTTCTTGGCAGAACCTTGGAAAATGAGGACACAATTCAACAAACTCGCTTGCCTAAATGGATCTCACCTGACCTGGTTTGGCGGTGCAAGGACTAATCATATAACAGTTTAAATATTGACTGACACAGAGTGCATTCATTATTTAAGAAAATTAGACAGAAAAGTCACGTTTTCACTGAAGGCGTCCCCCAACAAAATATTAAAAGTTTAATTTACCCTGAAGCAGTCTACGGGTATGGGTATAGCCTTATTTTGCTCAATAGAAATTCAACCTGCTTACATGTTTTACAATAAAAATCTTGTTTGCCCCAACAGATCAAAGTCTGACTACTGGAAATGCATTTTAAATGTGATGTCCGATTGAAATTCGTTGAACAAAATAAGGCGACTGTACCCGTATGTATGTGATATAACAAATAGTAACTCACTAATATTACTTATTACTAATATTAACTAATGACGTCAGGATGTATATAAACTAAGTGTATTGACATTATAGGGTATTATTGTTCGAGACATAATTGCACATGGTGGCAGCGCTGGGATATATACAAAATTAGCTATTTAGAAATATGGCAGAATCAAGCAACAACGACGAAGAAAATATTGTGCGAAGTTTTACAACGTATCAAATAACACCGCCGTCAAAGTTTAGCTTTCAATCGTCGGAATGGACCCGATGGATTCGCCGATTTGAGCGGTTTAGAATTGCTACAGAACTCGACAAGAAAGACGAAGAGAAACAAGTCAATGCGCTTATCTACACTATGGGCGATGAGGCAGACGATATAATCACATCGTTTGGCCTCAGCTCAAAAAGCTACGAAACAGTTCGAAACAAGTTCGAAAATCACTTCATCACTAAACGAAATGTGATTTTCGAAAGAGCGAAATTTAATGTTCGAGCTCAAGACGAAAACGAACCCGTGGAAAGCTTCATTACCGACTACATTGCGTCGCCAAGTACTGTGAATTTGGGGTACTGAAAGATCAATTGATGCGAGATCGTATCGTAGTTGGACTGCAAAACAAAAAACTATCGGAGAAGTTACAATTAGATCCAAATCTAACTCTAGAGAAAGCTATGTCTCAAGCAAGACAAAGCGAGGAAATCAAAAAGCAACAAAGTGTTATTCACGGAGAAAAAGTCACAGGAAGTAACGAGCACAATATCGACAACATATCTAAGAATAGATAGCAACAACGTTCCCGTGAAGGTCAGTTTACTCAGAGTACTAGTAAACACAGCAAATTTACAAGCCCAAATGTTCACGGTGTCTCGGAACACCACACCCAGGCAATTGTGCCCAGCAAGTGAGTCCATATGTCATAATTGTTCAAAGAAGGGACATATGGGCAAAGGCATGTCGAAGCCAAACGGGCCAACAATTCCGAAAGCAAGAAATAAACGAATTAAATTTCAGGCAAGAAAACAGGGAGGAGAATTTGTCAGAAGATGAGGCATATTTCTTGGGTGAAATATTACTCCTAGACACTGTCGGCAACACTAGCAGTAAACCGTGGACTGCAGACATCAAAGTAAATGAAGAAAACATCAGATTCAAAATCGACAGTGGCGTTGATGTCACAGTGATACCATTAAGAACATTTCAACAACGAAAACTACCTCTAAAGCTCGACTCGACTAGAAAAGTCCTAATGGGTCCATGTAAGCACAAGCTGAACTGTATTGGAACATTCGCATCGCAGCTCCGACACGAGGACCAGACAACGACAGAAGAAATATTTGTCGTGAAAGGCTTAGAAAGACCACTACTCGGAAGGCAAGCATCCCAGAATCTGAAGCTAATCAATCAAGTCAACGTGGATGTACTAAACAAGGTTGAAACAGAAAAAACCATAAGAGAAAAGCATCCCAATCTCTTCACTGGTCTCGGACAAATTAAAAACCTAGAATACGATATCAAAATCACTCAAGATGCAATCCCGTTTGCCATCACAGTACCACGACAAGTACCGATTCCACTCCGCAAAGAAACTCAACGAGAAATAAAAAGAATGGAACAAAACGGAGTGATATCGCGAATTGAAGATCCGACTGAATGGTGCGCCCCGATGGTGGTAACACCAAAAAGCAATGGAAAGGTTCGGATATGTGTAGATCTCACGAAGCTCCAACCAGTACGTACAACGCGAAAACCACCCACTACCAATACCCGAAACAACATTTGCAAACCTTGCTGGTGCTCGGCATTTCTCAAAATTAGATGCGAACTCGGGATTCGGGCAAATTAGACTGTCAGAACAAGCAAGACCTCTCACAACGTTCATCACCCCATGGGGACGATATTGCTTTAACGTTCTTCCCTTTGGAATAAGCTCAGGCTCTGAAAAGTTTCAGAAGTGTATGTCTCAAATCCTCGAAGGTTTAGAAGGTGTCGAATGCAACATTGATGATGTTCTAATATATGGTACAACACAAGAGGAGCACGACCAAAGATTGGAAAAGGTACTCCAACGACTCGGCGATGCCAACGTCACCCTTAATCCTGAAAAGTGTGTATTCAACGTCCCCAGCGTGAAATTTTTAGGTCAGATTGTTGGATCTGACGGCATAAAACCAGACCCAGAAAATACAAGCAATCCTGAAAATGCCACCACCAACCAACATACATGAAGTCCGTTCCTTCCTTGGCATGGTGAATCAATTCAGCAAATTTACCACCAATCTCGCCGTCATGACAAAACCCATTCGCGAGCTGCTGGTCAAAAATATCGCATGAACATGGGGACCTCCACAACAAAATGCCTTTGACAAAATCAAGAAAACCCTGTCATCAGCACCAGTTCTGACCTTGTATGACCCCAAGAAAGAAACAAAAATAGCAGCTGATGCTTCGTCATATGGCCTAGGAGCGGTAGTTCTACAAGAAGAAGAGCCGGGTAACTGGAAACCTGTATCATTCATTTCAAGATCGATGACAGCAACTGAGACTAAGTATGCGCAAACAGAAAAAGAGGCTCTGGCGGTTACTTGGGCATGTGAGCGGTCAAGCAACTACATAATTAAAAAGGCGATAATAATAGAAACTAACCATAAACCACTGGTTCCCCTGCTAACCCAACACACGGTCGACAAACTACCTCCAAGGCTACAACGCTATAAGATGAGACTCATGAGATTTCACATCAAGGAAGTCCGACACGTACCTGGAAAACTACGCTACACAGCTGACACTTTGTCAAGAAAAATACCTGAGGGCACAGCTCAACCAACGATAGCAGAACAGGAAATGAATACCTACACTCCAGTGTAATGGAAGCACTCCCGGCATCAAATCCAAGATTGAAACAAATACAACAAGCTCAAGATGAGGATGAGGTATGCAAAGAAGTGAAGAAGTACTGCATGGATCAATGGCCAGACAAGGATCATGTCACCCGGGCAGTAAAACCATACTGGTCAGTACAAGGAGAACTCACAATTGTTGACGGGTTATTACTAAAAGGAACAAGACTAGTTATTCCATCCAATCTTCAACGCCAAACCCTTGCCCAAATACACCAAGGTCACCAAGGGATTAACAAATGCAGAGAACGAGCCAAGATATCCGTTTGGTGGCCAGGACTTAGTGCACAAATCAAAACTATGGTTGAAAATTGTACACCTTGCAGCAAGCACAGACAACAGCATGCAGAACCGTTGATCCCAACGCCACTCCCAGCAAGACCATGGCAACTGATCGCAACAGACTTGTTTATTCTAGAAAAGGTGACCTATCTACTAGTGGTAGATTATTATTCTCGATATGTTGAAGTTGTGGCACTAACCAAAGATACAAGTTCAACAAAGATAATACAAGCTTTAAAAGCCATCTTCGCCAGGCACGGGATTCCGGACGAAGTACGTTCCGACAATGGGCCCCAATACCACAGTGACGAGTTCGCCCAGTTTGCAAAAGAATGGGGATTCAAGCATAGTACCAGTAGTCCTCGCTATCCTCAAGCGAATGGAGAGGTAGAACGGGCAGTAAGGACAGTGAAAAATATCTTGAAGAAAGAAAAAGATCCCGCAAAAGCAATGTTAGCATATAGATCAACACCATTAGCAAGTGGATATTCGCCAGCGGAACTCCTCATGGGGAGAAAGATAAAATCAACAATACCAATAATGACACAACAGCTCACACCGCAGCTACCAAACCAGGAACTTTTTAAAGCAAAGGAAGAAGAATATAGATTGAAACAGAAGAAGAATTTTGATAATCGCCATAATGCTCGAACCATGAAGCCTTTGACATCAGGAACAACAGTTTATGTGACAGATATGAACTGCACAGGAACAGTAATCAAAACATCCAACAAACCAAGATCATATTTGGTTGACACCCCTATGACGGTTATAAGAAGGAACAGAGCACATCTACGTAGTATTCCAAATCACACCATAATTCAGCAAGTCGACAAGAAACAAGAGAAACAGGAAGACCCACCTAATACGAATACGAACAACAGACCGAAAAGAATAAAAACACTTTCTTTAAAGGCCAGAGAGAATCTGGGACTAGAATAACTAAGTACCGTATGGCATTAGCTATAAAGACAGAACAATACAGTCGTTGACATTATGTTGACAAATCGAAGAAAAGGGAGATGTAGTGTGATATAACAAATAGTAACTCACTAATATTACTTATTACTAATATTAACTAATGACGTCAGGATGTATATAAACTAAGTGTATTGACATTATAGGGTATTATTGTTCGAGACATAATTGAACACCGTAGACCAGAAGCTGGGTATCAGATTAGAACGGATATGCAGGGTCATTTGGCAGAGTTTTCAGTAATTCTCATCCAAAATTTGTTGGACCATGTTAACGTTTAAGAAACACACCTCTGGCAACAAAAGAGTATGGCTCCATAATCTTCTTTATGACGTAATGCACGACCGATGGCTTGATTGACAGCTCGAGATGCCTGCTGACCATACCACTGTTGACCATTTAATCCCTGGAAATACAAGATTATGAGTGAAATAGTACCTACATTTGTTTCTGACTCAGAAGAAGTTTATCAAACTATTGTGGTAGTGATGGTATAAACAATGATATATGACTTTGAGATTACAGTCACGATTTGAATTGACAGAGCTTCAGATAAAATTCTCAGCACAAAAGTTTCCCTATTTGAATACGGGCTAAATTGACTTTTGAGTCTGGAATTGCCACATATTCCTGGTTTCGTATAGGATTGTAAAACCACAAAGCAATTTTAAAGTTTATTCTTAAAAAAAAATAGGATTAAAAGTACTTTATAACCAACCTTAAATTCTCTTTTGTTTACCACCTCATCTAGGAATTGTTTTTTCAATTCCACCTGAAATGCGAGGGAAAACAAAAAAATGTTTTTGAACTTTGGAAAAGATGTCTAGAGATAATAGATTTTTACCATAACCGGGGTAATAATAACTGATTATTGACCGACGGATATGTGTTTCACGACCAACCAATCAGAGTAGAGGATCTTAAAAAGCCATATTATTAATAAATTAAACTTGAGTAACCACAAATCCGAACGTATTCCTATTATCGGCTGAACGATAATCAAAAGACTCATTTCCCAATTTATTTTTGCGAATATTAAAACAGCATTAGCTAGGTTGTTAATCGAAAACCAAACCTTTGGATCAAAATCCGGTGGATAAGGTAAACCAGTTGTGACGACAGCACGACCGTTGATATTACTGAAGTCAACACCTTCGCTGAACTAAACGTGAGAAACACACGAGTTTCTTGTAAAACATCTGAGGCTTGTATCAATTCTTTTTACGATCTGCTATCAGGATGTGTTTGACTTGTATGTTTCGATCATAGTTTCATGTCCATAGCTCGTTTCATGTCCAAGCTCTACGAAATTAATCCTAACTTTTAATTTCCAACCTCACCCTAACTCTTACCCAACTATTTATAATAGAGGGTTAGAATCAAGGATTATATTCGTTTGACTCTGGACATGAAATTACTACGTGTTTCCACCAAATCTGACAAGATTTCAGCAGATCAAAAAGACCAAGAGCTTATTACTGTACAAAGTTTTAAACCTGACAAGCTGTCTTAACTTTCTGTGTTTAATGACTTTGGTATTAATACGTTGGAAAAGTGCGGTAAACACCATACCTTTCCTAGGCAAACGGCAAGAAACACAGCACCCTTGTTCTCTGGATTGCAGACTTTTTCATAAAATCCTTCCATTGCCTAAAACAGACCATAAATCCTAAGATAACCCTCAATCAGCCTGTTCATTAAGAATAATTTAGTTGAACATAACCTACAGATCAAAATGACCCGTTTTTCGTCGTGGTAAAAACGTACAGATGAACTAGTTTTAAAAAGCCTAGTTTTAAGATTTCGCTGCATGGGAAGAGAACCTAACTCTGTAAATTCCCTTTTCCGTCTGGGCTCAACAAAAAAGTTTTCTTGTCTCAAGTCCATAGACCAGAACTCTTACAAAACAAAGAATAATCATTGTGAATTAACGTAACGGGCTAAGATATGAAACATCGTTCCTATCAGTTTCGTCAACAAAAGAGGCGGTGGAATTTCGACCTAAGGCTAAGGAAGAACTAACAAAAGGTCCAGTAAGATTAATCTGTATAAAAATCACATTAGTGTTAGAGACGAACAATTCGTCTGGACGAACTTGGGAAAATATTTTTAATTCGTCTGTTAATTCGTCCGCGTATCAGAAACTACACCATCGTTAAATCTATAGGTATGCTTGCCAATGTTCCAGTGTTGTATGAAGGGTCCCATAGGACGGGGAAAACACCAGCATCCCATCAGGAACAACCTATGCAAATTTACTGCAACAGTCTTGCAAATTTAGTCTTGTTCTGGCCTGTTGAAAGCTTGCGTGTGAACAGTCGAGGGGACTGCTTTTTTAGGGCAAAGTTTCTTTGTCCTAAGTGGCGAAAATTCAGACGAGTCAGAGAATCAGTCAGTCATTCATAGTGTAAACTTTCCGGGGGTAGTTTGATTTACGCTTATAGTAATTTTTTGTACATGATCAGAAATGTAACGTTTTTAAATCAGTTTAACTTGTTTTATTTTTTTATTTATCATCCATCCCTTTTCCTTTGGTGGTATACAGTATTGATTGATAATTATATTGCTTTGTATTCACATCATAGACATAATATTCACCGCGGTTTTTATTTCCATTATTTACAACGCAACTATTTTGGCTATTCTTTGGAAATGACGGATCAGTTGTTGCCATCATATACATGTAGTTGATGTAGTCACAGTTGTTTGACGAAGAGATGAGACATGGTGTTTTTTGCCAAACCCTATAATACTAAACTGATAAAATAACGCCCGCTTTGCATGAGCAACTAAAATTATAATCTAGTATTACAATATCGGGGCTAACGTAATTCAAGTACTTTGAGTAATCTCCCATTTGATTAAGGGTAATGTTTAACCTAGTTCTTTATATTTTTACTGGCATAAGTTAAAACGTTTATGTTGGGACAAATGTCTGGTTGCTTAGCACTATCTATATAACTTTGAACTATCCTTGGACACCTATAGTTTCACTTTTAGTTTGGTTCACACTTAGAACATGCAGATCCATCCTATGAAAGTCGTCACAATAAATATTTGTTTGCAGCAAATGATACTAACAACATACCAGTTGCATTTTAGAAGATGAATTCCGAATACATGTTGAAATTGGCCAGATCATATAACATGGGCCCTCCTGAAAACCGTCCCAGCCTACAAAGCCGGCTCAAGAAGATGCAACCTCTGCCTTGAAGAGAAGCTATACGTAATGAAACGCAAAACTAAATCACTGCTGAACAAACGCTCGGAACTTTTCACTCGATGTAGACACGTGACCCGATACCTTATTTCACGATGTATATATAGAGAATAGCAACAAGACCTGCCATTAGCCTGATGATCGCTTTATAGCGTGAAACTCCGGGTAGCTAAGCTAGTCTTTTAATAGATAAATATATCTTTCCTCTGCCGGTAATGGTTTTGAGCACTCTTCAACCATTGTCAGGTTCTGTGAACTCTTCGTTACAGTTAATTCTTTGGATATATATATATATATATATATATATATATATATATATATATATATATATATATATATATATACAGTCGTTATCAAAAAGGTTGTCCCTATCAATATATATACAAATATATATATCAATCACGTGAGCATTAAACATTGTTTATTTCGCTCATTTTTGTCTTGTTTCTTTATTATTATCAATATTGTTAACCTTACTATTATATTTATGAAATTTTTAACAAAGATTTTCACGGATTTCCCATAAAATTAACGTATGCAGTAAAATCACGTGACTGATATTTACGTATTTATATATATTTCAATATGACAACCTTTTTGATAACGACTGTATATATATATCTATATATATATATATATCTATATTTATATATATATATATATATATATATATATATATATATATATATATATATATATATATATATATATATATATATATATATATATACCCATTTGCAAAAACGTTGGCCGCAGATAGATATATAGATAGATACTCAAAATCTAATTAGAATTGCATATGTTGTGTAATATGAATGAAATCCCATGCAAATGTAATCATATGCAATTCTAATTAAAATTTGAATATTTTATCTCTAATTAGACTTTGAATATTAATCTATAGAATATATATATATATATATACGTTTGGACATTTTTAATATATAGTTTTATTAAAATTTAATGTCTGAAGAAGAACTGTTAACCATTCAATAATACACCAGACATGATACCTCAAACACCTTCATATATATATATATATATATATATATATATATATATATATATATATATATATATATATATATATATATATATATATATATATATATATATAACAATTATAAATACAATTCTTTTAATTAGTTGCTACTTTAAGTTTCATGCACTTAAGCAATCATCAGGCAACGTACTAATGAAAACACGGTTAAATTGCGCGAGCTATTAGTTTGTTGACGCGTTTCAACGTTTGAAATATCCCGCGACGAATTTGCGTGCGTGCACGCATTTTGTGAAAAGCTCACAGCGTTTGTTAAGTAAAAACTGTTTATTGTAATTCACAATTAACAGTATTATTATTGTAATTCACATTTAACGACATCAGATACGAGAACAGCACTGAATTGTCAAAATACGTTCATAAATAAATTCATGAACACAATTCATGAAAGGAACCACCGGGGGGGGGGTGGTTCCTTTCCACTGATTTTGAGAGGGCTTGCGCGCAAAAATGTGAAGCTGAAATTGAGATATTATTTAGCTGTCTAAAAGTAGGAAAGCTTCTTAATAAACTGTCAAAGTTTCAGGAAAAATAATGCATACTGGGAGCAACGCGCGACCCCTAAAGGTGACAAATATTTCATTGCGCGCAGTGGATTAAATGCATCGTTGATTTTAGTGTGACCAATCTCATGTAAGGCTGGGCAAATGAATAAATTAAAGCGAGAAACTGAACACAAAAACA